CTACAGCCCCTACTCCTCCAGCGCCCACCCCTCCCTCCCTCCCAGCTGACTCCAGTCTCCCCAGCCCACGTCCGGGGACTCTCCCTTTAGGGTACAAGCCCAGAAAATGAGACAAGACAGGTTTTCCCTTCTCGCTTTCTGCTTCCCAACACCCCTTTGGGCAGCTGCCAAATTTGCAGCCGTGTCACTCACGCCCAGTGCCCGCCGCCCGTCCCTGGGTGACACCTCCGTGACTTGGGGACGGTCTCAGGCACCCAGCTTTGGTGGCCGTGCCCCGGCTCTCCGGGATGGCGTGAGGGCACGGGCGACCGCGGGGTGATTTTTTGCATGATTGGGGGGGGGCAGCGAGAGGTGCCCGGGGGGGGCTGTACCCCCTGGGCACCCCCGAATGCTACCGCCTGTCCCTGCAGCCTTGGGGCTGGGGGCCAAAGGGCTTGGGTTTTCCTGGGCTGCCTCCTTCGAAGCAGATGGGGCTGTTTAAGGCGCAGGGGACAGAGATATTCGGATGGCTTTGCTGCTGCTGCTGCAACGCCAGGACGGCTGCGTGGGGTCCCGGCGCCCCGCTGATGGGGTGTTTAGGGGTGCTGGGAGAGCCATGTCCTTGTCCCATTCTTGCACGCTCCTTCCACGCTTCTTGTCCCATTCTTGCATGCACCTTGCATGCTGCTTCCGCACTTCTCGCATGCTCCTTGCTGGTTTAGGGGAGACCCAGCAGAGCCCTCGTGGTGCTGGTGGGAGGTGGGGATCCGCCTCACGTCAATCCCAAAGCCCACAGCATCTGTTGCTGAAAACACCAGTGGGCTGTCCACTTATTTTTGACTTTCTCCTGTGCTGCCACCACCTCGTGGCACGTGTCACCCTCGCGCCGTTAATTCAGCTTACACCGGGTGTTATCCGGGTGGTGTTAGCCTTCATGTCTGCGTAGGGCAATCACACCCCACCACAGCCCGGGCTGCACCCACACAGGCGCACCCAGCTCCTGGGTGCACCCGGAGCGATGGGCACCCCAGGCTGTCTGCAGCAGAGTGCCTGCGATCCGCGGGGGCTGCTGGGCGAGGCGTACGCTCCTTGCACACGTCTTGAGCCATTCTTACATGCTCCTTGCGTGTTCCTTGCATGCTCCTTCCGTACTTGTTACACCATTCTTTCATGCTCCTTGCATGCTCCTTGCACACTTCTTGCATGCTCCTTGCATGCACCGTCCAGACTTCTTGCACCATTCTTGCATGCTTCTTCTGTACTTCTTGCATGCTCCTTGAACACTTCTTGCATGCTCCTTGCATGTTCCTTGTCCCATTCTTACATGGTCCTTGCGTGCTCCTTGCACACTTCTTGCATGCTCCTTGTCCCATTCTTGCATGCTCCGTGCATGCTGCTTCCACGCTTCTCGCATGCTCCTTGCACACTTCTTACACGCTCCTTGCAGCCGTGCTGGCCGGCTTGCTTGGGCCCACGCTTACCCCAAGCCAGCGCACCCAATGCACCCGTCAGGCTGTCATTACGGTGTAAGAGCCCCATCACTCTGCATTAATCTCGGATTCATCATGCTAGCGGGGCGGCGTAATTAATTTATTTGGTATTAATGTGGATGAAATATGTACTGTCCTTGCAGGGGAAAATCAGGCAGCCTATAAGCATTAGTTAAAAGAACCATTAAAATCAAACCTTCCTCAGCTCCATTAGGCCGGTCTTTCACGCTGAAGAAGATAAACCCCTGCCGTGTGAAGTGTCATGCATAATTAGGTTGATTGCTGGTTTAAACTCTGCCCTGTCTCCTGGTCCCCACCCCATCTCCGGCGAAGCCCACCTCGCCGGGGAGCTCAGGGTCGCCCGCTTCTCCTTGCAGGCGTTTCGGGACCAAATGCACGGCGTGCCAGCAGGGCATCCCCCCCACCCAGGTGGTCCGCAAAGCCCAGGACTTCGTCTACCACCTCCATTGCTTCGCCTGCATCATCTGCAGCCGGCAGCTGGCCACCGGCGACGAGTTCTACCTGATGGAGGACGGGCGGCTGGTCTGCAAGGAGGACTACGAGACCGCCAAGCAGAACGGTAGGCACCCCGAAAGGGCCACCAGGCAGGACATCACGGCGAGGGGTGGCCGTGGGTCACGTCACCGGTGTTGTTCCTGCGGGAAGGGGTGGCTGCGGGCTCTGGGGCAGCTGGTTTTGGGGAGCTTTTTTCCCCAGCGGCGTGGGCTGGCGGTTCAGGGTTGCTCACGCTGCTGCGGTCGGGGCTGGGACCGGTTCCTTCGCTTGCAGACGACTCCGAGGCGGGCGCTAAGCGGCCCCGGACCACCATCACGGCCAAGCAGCTGGAGACGCTGAAGAACGCCTACAAAAACTCTCCCAAGCCCGCCCGGCACGTGCGGGAGCAGCTCTCCTCCGAGACGGGGCTCGACATGAGGGTGGTGCAGGTGAGGCCATGGGGACGCCCCTCTCCACCCTGCCCCTAAGCAAAGAGGGACACAGGGGTCCCACTGGGGTGCCAGGGTGCTGGGCTTCAGGGGTGCAGGAGTGCCAGGCTGTAGGGGTGCTGGGTTTCAGGGGTGCAGGGATGCTGCGTTGCAGGGCTGCTAGGCTTCAGGGGTTGCAGGGGTGGCAGGGGTATTGGGGTGGCATGGGTGCCCGGGAGCTGGATTGCAGGGATGCTGGGGTGCTGGGTTGCATGGGAGATGGGTTGCAAGGGTGCTGGCATGCAGGGTTGCAGGGGTGCTGGTGTGCTGCGGTGCTGGTCTGCTGGGTTGCAGGGGGGTTGGGTTGCAGAGGTGTTGGGTTGCATCGGTGCTGGCATGCGGGGGTGCCG